TTTGAGCATCAGTTTGTCTTTAACAGAGGGAAAAATATACAACCACCAGTTAAGTAATATGAGACTTAAGTTGAGTCAACTTCATGACACCTGAGGAAGCTCCAATTGTTGAATAGGACTGTGAAATGTATTTGAAAGTAATGGAAAAAGCTGGCACGTGGACCTTGAGTTAAGATTATTTTATCAAACCATATTTAATTTGCCTATTCTCAGCTTCATCACAGTACTAAAACAATAGACAGGCCGTATATTCACATTCATACAAGTATACTGTAGCCTACATACAGTATTTTGTGTTACTCTTTTATTTTTGTATTTTCCAAAGGGATAAATCATATGAATATCTGTAAATTGTAAATATCTAGTGCCACATAATAACTCATTGTGAGACGATGAGTCATTATGTGGCAGGTGACGATTCTCTTGTGATGATAGCTTTGTAGACAAACTTTGGTTGTCATATTTTAAGTCACATCACAGAAACGCATACAAAAAATCAATTTCCCCTGAATACACTCACTTATATGTAATGAAACATCAAATGCCTAATTGAGGGCCGTATTTCTCTGAGAATGGAGCTACATATCAACTGAAGCATGCGTCACCCCAGCGTAACCCCTGTAAGACTGGCTTTCAAAAGGTAACCGCACACCACCTCTGCAATTTGAGCTGTGCTCAACTTCTATTTCATATTGGGAGGTGGAAACAGACAAGCTTGCCGTGCAAAATACTCATTCTTCGAGATTCAAATTCACAGTCAAATGTATTCATAAATGTTATAATGTTGGACATTAGGTTTGCAAGTAACTATTATTTTCATTATGGATTAATCTGAAGGTTATTTTCTCGATTAATCTAATCATTTTGTCTGTTAAATGTCAGAAAATATTCAAAGATGCCCGTCCAATTGGTTTCTTCAAATGTCTTGTTTTGTCCAGCCAACAGCAGAAAAAACAAAGTGATTTATTTTACTAAGATATGTGACAAAGAAAATCATCAAATCTGGATATTTGAGAAGCTCAAACTAGCAGATGTTTGTGATGGGGAAAAAAAGAACAAAACAATTTTGCGATTATCAAAGTAGTTGCAGATGAGTAATCGTTTGAGATCAATTGAACATCAGTCAAAAATCAATGTAGCTTTAACACAAGCAAGGTGCTGTTCTATTGTAAGTAAGTAAGTAAAATGTATTTATATAGCACTTTTCACAGATAAAATCATAAGGTGCTTCACAATATAACAACAAAATACAGTTCTAGCTAGACACCAGAAACACATTGACATATGTATAAAAAGCAACACATTTGCCTGTATTTAGTAACTTGTCCCATCTCTGAGCACATTGCTATCCAGAGAAATCTGTCTTTTGCATGACTTTATGACTGGTAACTGGATTTGTAGATAATGAATGGAAATCCCTGGAGGCCACATGGACCAATTTTTTACCTCGCCTGTAACTGCTGACAGACGCTATTCCTGAATACACTATGACCCTCTCCATCACTGCTTCATCTCCTGAAATCATTTCTCCGCTTTCTCCACCGATCAAATTGTAAATGAGTAAAAGCTTGTTCATGCAGCGCCTGTCTCCATCAAAACAAATACAGTTTGACAATGGAAATGACACACACTCGTTTTTTTAGATGACAATATGTCGTTTATTTTCTATATTTTAAAGGTTTATTATTTACAAACAAAATAAACAAAAAAAAGATTTTTTGACAAACACTGTTTGTCTGCATATTGTTGTAAGAAAGTTTACATTTATCTTTCTTTCATCTGTATCAAGTAACCAACTGACAGTTCTTTTTGTCTAAGCCTTGGATTACATAAATGAGCTGAACAGTGACCATGTGAGCGGGGTTTAAGAGGACCAAGCAGCTTGTCGTAGCTTCTGCCCCTTCTCTTCACTACGCATATCATCAGTAAACATATGAAACCTGTGGACCTGTCATCAAAACCAAAAAACATGGTTTGTCCTCTCCGGGCATTTTTCTCACTTCTTTTTGCATTTCTTTTTTTTCTCAAACCAACAAAACAACAAACAAAAAGAAATATACAAATATATGTGCTGGTTTGTTGAGTCTCTATACTGCTAATATGTAAGCTCATTAGTTTGTGTTGTACATCACCATTAATGCCCATTCCAGTATGTTAGTTGTGATTGGTATAGTGAAAAAGCACATAGTTGGGAAGCTCTCCCTCCAAAGGCAAGTATCAAAAACAGCACAAACTAACAGTGCTGCTATCCATCTTGACTGTGTACTAGTTCCTATACGCTATGGCATATTCACAATTAAGCACTCCTCGTTGTAAATAGAACATCTCCCCCTCATTTAGAACCCTCATACAGGATCAGGGCAGCACAAATTCTCTGGGATATTGCTCCTTTACTAACTCATTCAACATCTAACCTAGCTGAAAGAATCTTTTTTTAGTAAATCAGAAAGTGCAATTTAAAACAAAGACAATGACTTGTTTTGCTTTGGCCAGTTACCTTCCATACATCAATATTCAACCCAAACATCAGTGGCTAGCTACAAAGAAAGGTATAAAGGTGCTCCAAATTTGTACAATGTCTCATTGAGCGTGATATTACTGCAAGTCTAAAGATTGCACTTTTTTTTCAACTGTACATTACCTCATTAAATATGCTATATAGCTTGACTGACAATGTTAGAAAAAACCTGCCTCTAGAAGTTCATATTGTATGTTAAGATACCAATTGGGTAATCTGAGACATTTGGCCATCATCATTGCTTACTCCTTTCCTGTCTAAAAACACTGGGACATAGAACACATACAGTATAGTAAGAATGAATGCGCAGTTGTGTGCAGAAGTACCCCCTATACACACCCGAGCTCACACTCATAACAGAAGATGAAACATGGCTATAGTTTAGGCACAAATACTTAAGAATGTCCATGTGAAAAGTCAATGTTTCTGTTCACACACAGATAACGTCTAGGCAGACAGACGATGAACAAAACATAATCTAACATTACACTTAACGTCAACATTTTTTGAGATAGTATCTTTTTAAGCATTTGTGACAGTGCATGCTTTCATGACATTGGTGGGTTGACTGTATTGGTACACTATCAACACGATCTGTAGCGAAGACTTGAAATCTTTTCAAAACGGTATCTCTAAGGGCTTAGTCACTTTGAACTGATGGGCTATTTGGTTGCCATGAAAACTATGACTCTAAATAGTTCCCATTTGACCCACTGTATGAAGACAGCAGTAAGGCCTTGCGCACAAACGGCAATATACTGTATGTGCATGAAAATGGCCCTGTAAGCCGACATGGATGGCTTATTTTAGTTGAGTCATGAAATACTTTGGTTATTGGAAGATTAGAATATTCATAATAGTTAATTTTCTTTTTGATAGAGTCGCAATTTATTGGGGCTTGACCTTGCTTCTCTGCCTTAACATCAGTCAGTCAGGTCAGTTTAGAGTAGCTAAGCCCACATGATGGATTTACATGAGACAGAAACCTTAATGCAAACCAGCATTTCTTTTTCCGACTTGTGACAGGAAAACACCTCTCAGTGAAAATGTCCTCACGCACACTTGAGTGACTGATGTCTTTAACTTATGTGTTGAAAATGTCGTGCCAGGCTCTTCAACTACATGAATTGTGATTTGACTGCGTACGGTACAGTTTTAGTCAAGAAGCGGATGAGCAAGCACAGAATTTGTAGTTAAAAAAAAAAAGAAGAGTAAGCCTCATTTTGGTTCTTAAACACTACATTTCATAGAATTATCAGTTTGATATATGAACCAAAGAAGCATTCTTAAAATGATCCTTAGCAGTTTGGGGAAATGAGGCTAGAAAAGACACATTTACTTTCTATAGGATGACTTTGAAATCAAGTTGTGTTTTGTAGGTAAATATTGTATACGTTCAGTTGGTGTGAAATGAAAGACTATATTAGGACTAAGAATCGTATACAGACAGAGGGAGGGATTCTTACTTTAAATGTCCTTAAATCAGGCATTTCTCAGCATCAGGTAGTGCTAGCTATTGCATTAAGGTTTGTTTATCTCTTATGAAACGTGTGTATTTTGTCACTTAACCTTTTTCACATATAGATGATATCCAGGTTCCTGATAGAAATAAGACATTGTTATGATAGAGAATGCACCACACAGTATCTGTAAATACTAGATCTACAAAACTATTTACAGCACACATATAGGTAATCTTTATGTCACAGTCTATTGCATAATGGTGATAATCTTTAGTTTATAAATATTATAAATATACACAGAATTTTTAAGCAACATTACATAACATATCAGCCATCTGAAATCAGAAATAGAAAACAATAGCATCCATCAATATCTTTCTCCACACTCCATTCTCCGCGAAAATAAACAAAGAAAGCAGCATTTCTATTATCTATTCCCTTTGGACCCATAACACTGTCATGGTTTGTATGTGAGCCGCTGTGGGGGTATAGTGGCTCAGCAGACTGCATTTCTGTTGCTGTGAGCAACATAACACTTTGTTACAGTATCTGTGTTGATTTCTGAAATGAGGGTTCAGGAAATTAGTATGAGAGTGTGTGCTTTTTGAGATTATTTGTCCGAGTTTGTTTGCATTTTATTATTCCACAGTGGTGCCTAAAGCTGATTAATAGGAGAAGATAATTTGTCTCTTCCTCAGTGGTAAAATAAAGAAAGAGAAAAATAGTCATTGTCAGAATCCACAATGCATTCCAGTTAAAAAAACAAACAGAAAGCAATAAAATAAAATAAAACAATGTCATACATTGTATATAATTCTTTATATTTCTCAGAAAGGAAGACTCATGTTTATACTACAGCTTTTAAATTGCCATTGTCAAATATTCTAGTTGGATTTTACACACATGGTCACATGCACGCACACACACACTCACACACCCATACATACAGCAGTGTATATACAGTATATATATGTATATACACACACACACACACACACACACATATATATATATATTGTGGTTTTGTGTATGTGTGTGTGTGTGTGTGTGTGTGTGTGTGTGTATACATATATATTTATATATAGAGATAGCGTAAAAGAAAAGAGAGATGTATCTGTGTAATATACATTCTTAAGTTTAGGGAGACAATCTGTCTAAAATATAATACAAGGGCTTTTATGTACAGGATTTCTATGAGGTTATTTTAGAATAAAATTGGAGAGAAACAAAAATGCTGAAGGTCCTCACTTTTATCTCTTTTGTTGTATCTCCATTTTTAAATATGAATTGAAATATATGGAAGTTTAAAAAATGAGAAGGGAAAAATGGGATCATAAATTTGATGCAAAACGCATTTTGTCTTGCTCAGTCTCTGTACTGCTCAGGACAGAATCTCTTCTAGATCCGGGGGATTCCCTGTGCTGGGTTGATGATGATGCTGCTGCCGCCACTGCCGCAGCCGCCGCTGCTGCTGCGGCTGAGCGCACAGGGGGCAATGCTCCTGACGACATCTGGCGGAATAAATTGACCCTCTGGGGCACTGTGGTGCGGATGCCACTCTGCAGATTCATCCCCTGGATCGCTGCCGCCGTTGGTGGCACAATGGAGGCCAAAGAGTCTCCTGAGGCTGGGTGTACTCTGGGCCCCAGAGATGTGTCATGTGGCAGTGATGGTTGGGAGGCCGATAAGTGTCTAACATCTCGACTCAAGCTGCCTGACTGAAGAGCCTGTGTGCTCTTGTGGATTTCTCCCCGCTGAGGTGAAGGGACCTGCTGCTGCTGTGGTGACGGCTGCTGCTGCTGCTGCTGCTGCTGCTGCTGCTGCTGCTGCGTTGCAGAGGCTGCGGCTGCACTTGACACAGCAGGCTGCTGGGCAAGCTGTTGCTGTGTGGATAGAGATGGTTGGGCAATGGGCTGCTGGATAAGTGACAGCTGGGAGGCTGTGCGTGAGCCATACTGGAAGCTCCGGCTAGCCAGAGGGGTCTGCACGGGGGGACTACACATGGCAGCCGTGAAGGAGCAGGGCGACATGATCGCTCCTTGCTGCTGGAGTGGGGTCTGTGGGTTAGTTAAGGATGAATTCAGGTTGCCATGGGAAAGACTGGGAGCAGGGTAAACCCCCTGCGCTGCAGCAGCAGCGGCAGCTGCTGGTAGCATGCGGGCAGCAGAAGCATTGGCAATAGCTGAAGCACTATAGGTCATAGGTACAGAAGACTGCTGAAGCTGACTTGTGCCGAAGGCAGTTGGGAAGGGCGGTTGGGCTGGTGAGTTAATGATGGAGTTTCCTGACATTGGTGTTGAGTTCATCCCGGTGACTGACTGTTTGCGGTCCACCATCATCACCATCTCCCTGTCCTGACGGATAATCTGCTTCAATATCTCGTTCTCCTGTGTGTTGAAAACACCGGCGTTCAGATCCTTCTGGAACTTCTGCAGCAGCAAGGAGTTCTTCTTCCCTGTTGGGGTGCAGTCAGAAGAGGTGAGCACATAAAGCCATGGCAAACTTTGGTTGCCCTAAACCACAGGAAAAGGGCAGGATTCAGGACAGGGATGATAAAGATGCAGCTTGTATGTTTTAGTAGGAAGACTTGAGTGCATTTGCATTATGAAGCAAAGAATTTCATCTTGATTCACTCCACTAATTTCAACTTTGTCGCTCTTACGAGCTGCATCTTTTCAAGTCCACTAATGTCTGTCATATTGAATATAAAGTGTGAAGGACATTGAATGGTAATGACTATGGGGAAAATTACGGTCTGAGAGGAGTGAAGGACACATAAGGAGACAAAGATTGCTCAAAGTATGACGTGATAGCATAGACTGTGAAGGTGCTGACAATGAAACACAGAAGAATACTGATGAGTTGTACCCATATGTCACGTTACTGAAGTTTTTTTTTGAAGAAGAAAAGACAAAGTCTAAGCTCTAGGAATACATTTAAAGCCACATTATATTTAAATCACAAGAACTCCGCTAAAACACATCACAAGAACACTTAGAATAATGCCTTTTTTATGAACAAGGTGACAATAAAAACAAACAAAGAAAGCGACAAAAGTCTATTCCTAACATACTACCTCAGTGGGTACAGATTGTAAATATAATTCTACATTAAATACCTTTTAAGGAAAACTAAACTTAACTCACCTTACCACAGCATGCTATGTTATCTTTTTCATTAAGATTTGCATGGTATTCTCTGAAGATATGTTTTCATTTTTATAAATAAAATAAAAATAAAAAGTTTGTTATTCTTTAATGTGAACATATTTGTCTGCAAAGTTAAATATTAATTATAAATCTTTCCTTAATACCGAATACAGTTTGTTTTTTAAAGTGTTATATATGTGCACTACAAAGAGCATTTTTAGCCCACAGGCCTGTAAATATTTCCCGGCCTGTCAAAAGTCATGGGCTGTGATAATAAAAGCTTGACAGATGGCTTCTTTAAACACCTAACACTTTTGTGGCTTTTATGAGTTTGGGAGCAAAACTGTGGTAAAATGCTACGTGGTACTAAAAAGCATGAAAGACATCTTGAAACTGGTCTTTTGTAGAAAGAATGGCCACATTTGAACAATGATAATAGTAAAGATCTGTGTAACATCTTTACTTAGAGGATGTCTATACTGTAATTACTGTTGACCTTGAGTATTGACAGGCTGTGACGTGTTATTTGTCGGTAAAGGAGACTGAATTGACTTTCAGTGTGCTGAAGGCTTTAGCCACAGTCAATCAATCACTAAGCTCCGTCCTTGAGGGCTGAAGCGGCATTTGCTGGGTGGCTTTCTCTCTTCTCAAGGCTGCCAACAAGCCATGCATTCAGCTATAAGACAGGACTTTCACAGCTGTAACAGCTGAAAGTGGATTAATGTTATGTTTTGCAGCCATTTCTCAGAATCAAGTTCGCCATTTGACGTTGTCCATTTTGACTGCAACAGTCACTACAGGGTCGGGTAGTTAAGGGCTAAAACTAGCACCACATAAACGACTACTGTACACTTACAAGGCTGCTTTCATTGCATTTTTAAAGGTGGTAGGGTTAAACTCTGTAGATCGGAAGGATGAAACATATTCATTATTTCTCCAAATAGAACCTGTGAGGGTCTGAATGTTTGCTGGAAGTTAGACAGAGTGGTATTGTTAGGATTTCAGGGCAACAGTGCTTAAGATGTCATCAAAATGAAACGGGAAGTTATCATTGTGGTGCACTGTAATGTGTACATACAATTGTCTAGACTAGGCAGAAGAACAGTTTGAACTCAGACTTGCTGCTCATACATTTTGTTTGGCAGTTACAGGCTACCAGTAATGTATACAGTGTGCCGTCTGTCTCATCTGTTGCTGTTCCTGCTGCCCTTCTAGATTCTTCTGGCTGCTTCTTACAGTGTTTCTCTGCTCCTCTAATCTCTCTTTGACATTTCATCGCAAAAGATAAACAGACATGTATCAAAGAATATAACAGACCTTTAGAGCTACTGTATGTATTTACTTACATTTAAGTAATTTTTAAGAAGCAAATTATTTTCCGTGCAAGATTATGACTATGGGGACTTAGATTGTTTTTTCATCAAAGAAAATAATCAGAATGGATGTTTGTTGTGCATTAGTAGAATAGGTAAAATTTCAAAATATCACTTTAAGTCAAGGTAAACTTTTATCCATGGAATGTTAAACTAACCAAAGCTAAATAGGAGGAGCTGAATTTGACTCATTAACCAACTGTGAGGTTGACATTTTAGTGCTACTTAACCAATGTCATGGTAAATGTCAGAACTCCGTATGAAACATAAACACATACAGTAACATGTGAGTTTGAGTTTGCCCTAATACACACCTTGTTCCTTATAGAAAAACTGGCCTGCTCTGACAGTTTCTGATAGTTTTTTTTTTTTTACAGTGCAATTCTCTACAGGCAGAACTCGTAATGGGAGAGAGAGGCAAACAAAGCACTGACTGTATATTTCTGTTTAAAATATTCTGGACTGTTTTCCCAAATGAATGCCAGTGGTAATTTCTGAACATGTCTGCAAAATGCAGTTTACCTGATTTAAAACTCAGAAGATAAAAAGAAGATGTCAACATATTATCCCTTAAAAAACAAAATGCAAACAAACAAAAACATAAATAAAATGTAAACACCACTCATGGATAAAGAAAGGTTCCCTTTTTTTGCATACAAAACTGTACAATTGAAATAAAAAATGATCAGATATGGGTTGAATCACCATTTGGAAATAATGCAATTATAGTATGAACTATGTTGCTTATTTGTCTTTCCCTGGCACAGTAGAACCAGTGTGATGTTCAATATACAAACATCACCTATCAATTTGATTTCAAAAGATAATACTACAGTAATTAACCCATATCTGAAATCTAAAACATAATCATTGTAAAACAGTCTGAAAGCCAACAAACACACCAAACAAACACGTAAAAAAACAAGCAAAACACAAACATCATAATGTTAACATACATCATAAATAATGAAGGCTGTATTTGATAAAATTCACAAATTTTGAGATTAATTCAAGGCTTTGCAGAAAAATTAAAAAAATGTTCATTCTAATTTACAATTGAATTTGATAAATCATTTCACCAATAATCTGTAATAAATTGTTTAATTTATGAGTCACTGCAGGGAATGTTTTCTTGATTCTTCTTGTTGAGGGTTATTTAGTACACCATTACTAAAGAACTTTTAAAGAGGATAACTTGTGTAAATGTGCATGGAAAAAATGATAATGGATTAAATTAAATTAAAAACTTGCCCTCCACATGTGCTCAATATGACATTACTGTAGCTCTGTGTTTGAATACAGTTTAAGCCAAAAGATGTGATTACCTAATTCTTTGATAAGTTTCAGTGAAGTACAAAAATTTTTCCAAATGATTTATACAAAAGACAGAATTCATATTGCAAGTCAGACAATCAGAAACAAACTATATTTTTTTCTATTTGTGAAAACATGAATAAATAATGAAATGGGATTTCTGCATGTAACAAAAAGTGTATGTGGCATTGCATTAGTAAAGTTTTTTTACTAATCTGCACGCATGATTTCATTTGTGAATACACTTTGAACAAAGGATTCAAAGGTTAAATAAAAATGTCACTGAGCATGTGCCCATAATCCTGTTAGATCTGTGAAAGTCTGTTACAAAATAAACATGGGATGTAACACTGAATGGAATTCCTTTGTTTCTTTGATTGTCTTAGTTGTTGACATTTTGAATGTGTCCATCAAAACATCTGCAGGACTGGTGTGGGTGACTTGAATTATGTGTCACTGATGCAGGAATTAAACAGTTTGTGTAACCTTCAGCAAGAGGTCAAACTCCTGGAGGAAGAATTTGAGACCGGATCCATTTAGCAAGCCTCTATAGGTCAATTTGTCCCTGTTCGAATATTGGAATTGGAATAAAGTGTTTACCTGATGCCTACTCGTCGGCCAGGACACTCTTGAAAACGAGATGTGCTCGTCTCAAGACGGACTCCTGGTCAAATAATTTTTAGATAGATAAAAGATAATGTCAAATGTGCAACACGTTATTGGTTTCAAAGCATGGTTACTTTTTTTTCTTTTCCTTTTTAGAGCAAGACAAGCATGTAACCAAATGCAGTTCATATATAGAAACGATACAACCAGCACGGATCATGACAAAGTATCATCCCTCGTATGAGACAAAACCCCCTTCATGGTTAGTCTGAAAGGATGGATTGATATATATATATATATAACTCTGAGAAGTGTCAGAGTGGGCAGCTTTCATTTGCTAACATTTAGCTATAGTGAAACTGAGCTTTTAACTTTCATAAAAAGGGCAAATGTAGATTTTGACTGTTAAGGCCAAAGGGCATACAGTATGTTGTGAAGGGCACAAATCCATACACTTCACTACAGGGCAAATAAAGAATCTGTTTTTATTTTATGCTAGTCCAAAAAAATACAACCTTGTCTCCTGTGAATTAGGCTCATATGCAGCTACTTCACAATTAGCTATTAGTGTTCAGTTTCAATGCAAGAAGAAGTGACATGCGTAAAGCACAGAGAAAAGTGTGGGCGTTGACTTCTGGGTGGATAGAAGTGCAAAGCTAGAGGTGAAGGTTTGTGTCTTGTATTAAATTAGAAATGAGTGTTGTCATTTGTAAAAATTTAAACATTCTCAGTAGTTTTTTTCTTACCTTAACCATGCTTCAGCTGCCATGAGCAGATATTGTAAGAATAAACACTGATGGTGAACATTTCGCAGATTTGTTCAAAATAACGTTTGCAGACACGGCTTGTATAAATTTGGATGTGAACATTTTGCAGATATGTTTTGTGTTTGTCAGATATTTTGATATAATCCAGTCATCCATCCACTATACCCCCCCCCCCCCCCCCGCCCTCCATATAAAAGAAGTAAATAGTAGTAGATGAACTTAATTCTAAGGAGAAAAGGTTGTCTCAACAGTGACACACATCTGTTGTTGGATTCTGATTTACTCTAAGTGGTCTTGTTCCAGATGTATTGTTCATTGCTTGTTGCTGACTTGCCTGACGCTACAGTATTTCAATGTTGAGTCAACACTTGGGTTGCAAAGCAATTCAATATTGATGTGCCTGTGTCAGGCAAAATGATACACAAATACAAAGCCATGACAAAGAAAAACAACAATAACAGATAGAAAAGTAGATACAGACTGCAAGCTTAACCACTGATATGAGACAACATTGGCACACTGTCACTATGGAAAGTCAACTTTAGTTTTGTATTCAGTTGATATTGTTTTCTGGTTTATATAATAGGGAAACAAATCACCAAACATTGTGGTCTCTAGTGTTACTGGCAGGCATAAAGGTTTGTTGGCAAGAAGGCAGCTTTATTGGTAAAAGCCAGCAGCGCCGCACTGAGAAGGTGTGGCTAATTTATGATAATGAGCTGCTTGGGTTGTCTGTGTAGCAGCCATAAAAGCTAATGATATGAAACATAAATCATTTCAAAAGTGTCTTATTTAACAAATTCCATTTCTTTCTGCATAATACATAATAATAAACTAAAATTTTGTTTTTGATTTTTCTCTTTCTGTGCAAAGGAGGAAGCAGTTCTATGAAACAGCAGGACTGCATGAAAATATTTACTTTATTCACCACCAGTAACCTGGAGAGCATCCAGCTGCAATTGAAAAAATAAAGAGGCTTGCCTCAATAAATTAGCTTTACTGTCTGCTGATTACTTGCAAACCTTACAAAGGTGGGAAATGCTTTTCAAACATATCGTGAAGTTCTCTGGAGCTTTCAGTTAATTCAATGTATCATAAATCCCTAATGAATTAGAGCATGACTAGCAAGACACTTTGCCGTGACCTTATTTTTATATTTTATATTCTGTTATTTAATTAGAGGTTAGATTAAAATGCACTGTAATATTTTAAAATGTTCCAATAGTAATTCATGGCATTTCATATCATTTTATACAGTAACATACATTGTGTCATTTCTTTTCACCAGTGTTTGTACAGTTTTTTTTCATATGCCCTTAGTATATCCTTACTGTATGTAGACTATATGGTGGTATAACCTCCTTTCCTCATTATATCTATCTAGAAGTTTGTCAGGTAAAGGAAGATATTTGTTTGCTAGTTGTTACATGTGGAAATACACTAGTCAGAATATTCGTAGCACATCAACACTATGATGGCACATACATTACAGCGGTAAGGTACAGTATGGCAATCGCACTATTCTGCTGTACTGCCTCACTGACAGTGTACGATAGCTGAGCTACTAAGAAAACAATAATGTACTTTAAGAAATGAATGCATGCTATTCACGTGTCCATACACATCAGTGTGTTTTGAATCTGTACCTGCCTTTTTTGTTTTAACGAAATGTCATTGTATTTCCTAATGGGGGTTGGGTAAGACTGATACCAGATCTTAAAATACATACAGTAGTATCTGAGATATCAACACAAATAATACTCATTAAACACTTAAAGTTTACTAACTATACACACTGAAATGTCTATATGAAATGTGCTGAATTCATTGTCAAGTTATATATATATATAAGAGGTAATAAAACGAATACATTTTCATTTCAAAAAGATACATATAATTAATGCAGCAAAACATAAGCAAAGACAAAGACACATTCTACTTCTGTCAGTTTAAAAATATTTTTTAGACAACACTTTAATATTGTCATATTATCTTCTACATGTTTAATATGTCAGGTCCAATCAAAGTATTAAAGCAGATTGAACACATTTAAAAAAGGAGAGGGAGAATGTGCAACATAAGGGTCAATGCAACCAATTATTGCCCTGTTTGCCGTACATACATGTGCCCCTTTTGTAAACTGTAACAAATCTATGTGTCTGAACCATTATCATTTATTCTATTTCAGCTACAATCTGTCAGGGCCAAGCTCTTCTATCAGACTATGAAAATAAGGAAGCATTGTTGATAATGAGGGTATAGTTGAATGAAACTATACAGGCCTGTTGGCCTGATGGATGTTTGGGCCTATAACAACTCCCTGATGTCACCTGGCCCTGCTCTTATTTCTTTTTTTGTTTCTTCTGGCTGATTTTGAGTACTCTGATATGGGGTGGGGTGCTGCTCATACCCAGGAGTGCAGATGGGTGGAAAGAGGGCCAGACACACATGCATGTGAGGTTAGCTTCCATCCACTCGCTGACATCCAGTGGGGGGGTCAACACCAAACCAACAAGGGGGCGAAGTGACTCCCTCCCGGACAGCGACATGCACTGCCTTCCAGTTAATCCAACCACAAAACGCTACTTTGGTTCTTTAGAAGGATTAATGCTGGTTACAACATTTTTTTTCTTTCACGTTATTTAAGATAAAGAAATAGACAGAAGTAAAAATAAATAGCATACAGGTCATGCAGCACAAGATGGCAGACACAATGCTTTTATGAAGAAAGAAGGCAAACGAATACTGATTAAGACAAGACGACAAGGCACGATGACAGGCAAGAGATCCGACCAATCAGACAGGACAATAATTAAATGTAGGCAGGTCTTACCAATGCGGTCCAATCGGTCAATGGCAACAGTTTCGAAAGCACGTCGCATCATGGGGTACTCTTCTAGCACCTCATTGAAATGGTCAACAGAGAGAGAGAAGAGTCGACAGTAGGTGTCTGCACGCACACTCGCAGTTCGCCTGCCCTTGGTGAGCAGACAGATCTCTGTTTGATGGGGACACAAAGAGACAAAAGAAAACATAGGGTGAGAGCAGAAGACATTTTGAGACATGATGAAACGGTTACAGAAGTGAAGACTGTAGAAGGACATTAACAAAATTATCCCAGTAATTACAGCATAGATTACCATATAGATGAACCTTGAGTACAAGAGGTATAGAAGCAGAAGCTAATGTGGATGCAGGACTGCATCAGTGCACTGCATCAGTTGTGAGACAGTGTATAACTAAGCAGAGTGGTTACTTAGGTAGTTTAGCCCAGTGGTTCCCAACTTCCCAAAGGGTTGAAGACAAATCTCAGGGGTCATGAAAATTTGTATATTTTAATTTTAAATATAGGATAATTTACCAAGAAATGAAACCACCTGAGAAGTTGAGAGGGGATATCTCTCTTCAGCGGAACTACTAAGAACTCATAGACATCTGAAATGTGAAAAGGGGCCCTAATTAGATGCTGCTTATTTGTAAGGGATCAGAATCCAAGAACGTTGGGAATCTAAAGTAAAATGTAGTGTGGTATAAAAAGTTACATTTTCCCTCTGAAATGTAGAGGATTAGAATTACAAAGGATAAAATGGAAATACTAATGAGGAAAGTAAGATGTACATAAGTGCAGCGCTTGAGTAAATATACTTAGTTACTTTCAGGGGAGGTGGGGGGGTTGTAATCTGAAAGAGGCTTGAGAGGGAAAAAAGATAATCTTCCCAACTTTGTCAACTCCACTCTAGTTTCATTCAGCTATACCCTACATGCAAAGGCTAATTCAGCCCACTTTTACTGAGGATTTGAAATATGTCAGAAAGTGTTCTCTTAGTAGGGTGCTTATAATTACTAATACTCATTCATACTAAAATCGTCTGAACAGCAATGAGATGATTGCAAACAGACCACATGCTGAGGGAAAAAGGTCATGCTTTTGATTCAGCCTACAATTTTAATGTCCAAAATAGGGGTTTCACTTCTGATGTCAATAACAACAGACTAAAATCCAGTTTCTATGGTACAGTGATTAGACAAGATGATTTCATACATGTGTTTAAGAAAACTAATCTCAGTATTGCTATCCTGTAAAGGACTTGCAAACTAATCTGAATTTCCTCACCTGTGTGTCTTATTGAGCTAGCAGTAAATGATACGTGATGGTAACACCTAACATTAACAAGGCCTGAGCTCCTCAGTGTTTTCATGAATCAGTGACATAAAGCAGAAAGTGCACATAATGCACAATCAATCAATCAATCTGCCTTGTATTTATTCAACCTACATCTTTTTCTTCTCTTTAGCTTTCAGTGCCTGTCTTCCCAGTATCAAATTCCCTTGCTTTCTGTTCAGTCCTGTTCACCCGCCAACACCACTCGACCTCCACCCACATTTGCACTTCAGTCCAGTCAAGAGCGCAACTTCCATCTTCATTAAATCGTTAAATGTTAACTTGTCGTGGTGTGATCTTTTCTGGCTATGCTATGAGCTGTCGTGAAAATAGAGCACAGAGTATGCAAGGTGTGAGAGCAACACTCTCAAGCTGTAGGTGTGAATAAGGTGTCCGTGCTGTTATAATGGTACCTCTGTTAACACAAGATACACAGAGAAAAAGACAGCGACAGAAAGAAAAACTTGCGCTTTGTTAATTTTGTTTTCACAAAGGTGAAGAAACAGAGGCAGACACAAAGACAGTTAGTGGTTGATCCACAAGCTAGCATGAGGCGCTGTGCGGCTGCATCCAGAGGTAAATGTTTTACTTATCAGTGATCGACTAGTGGCTCAGGTCTAGTAAGGTGGGTTAAGTTGGCTGTATTGGAGAGCTGGAAACGGCTGACATCCCCCAAATTACTGACTCTCATGGCACTCAATTTGGACTAATGCCTAATACAGCTTTGAAACTTGTTAAAATGAAGCACTTCTAATTACTGCTTTGTCATTTCAGTTCATACTGAAACATTTCCCAACCATAGATTCAACCAGTACAATCAAATGATTAGTTGGAACTTGGTGCCAAGGTAAGCTACTCTGTTGCATCTGTTATTCTCCAAATCACTAGGTATAATTGTAATTGACAATTAGAGCCAATGTGACCTGAAAGCCCTGAAGTGGTAGCTAAAAATGTTCCTCACTATGAAAAACACAAGTATTAAAACATGTTTTAAAGGAATGGTTTGCCATTTTGGAATCTCAGACGTGTTGAGTGGTATCAATCTTGTCATCTAAGTCTCAACAAGAAAGTGAATAAGCACATTTCCCAAAATGCCAGTTCTTTCAATAGTAGAATGTATATTTTGGCTAGACATGCAGGAGGTTTTATGTGACTTTTTCTGCCAAGGCGACCTGATCTACTAGTAGGAGTCACTAATAAAGCAACCAGCATGAGAACTCTTTAGCCGTGTTTTTACCAAAGGAACCATACCCCGGAACTAGGAACCTTTGGAGGAACTCACTGCGTTTCCACCGAAGGGACCAGGGTCTAAATTTAGTTCTAGGGTCTTTATTTTAACCACCAAAAAGTCCCTGCTTGGGGGGGTAGTACTTTCCAAAAGTACCGGTACTTTGGAGGGGATGGGGCTTGCCTTGCAGTGAATTTCTGAATGGATGAGTAGAGGCTACTGGCTTTAAATCAAGCATGTCGGCTGTTTTACTACTACTGCTCCTCTCTTTTCCACCGTTGTTTGCAAACCAATAAATCACAATCAATAGTCAGATAGCGCACACACAAGTCTCACAGATGGAATTACACTAAATACTGGGTCCGAAGTTGTTGTTTGAAGTTTTCATCTGTCAGGAAGTTTTTACACAGAGCCGAAGTTGGTCTCCTCCTCTCCAAAACAAGCGGAACAGCTGATTACAGCAGGTAATATAGCTCCTCCGACGCTTCGGCGGACACAGACGTGAGTCCTGCAGCCAATGTGCAGCTCTTGTCGGCTGGAACTGTTTTAATAACCTTATAAACTGTCTCGATTTTATGTTTCTTTCTCTGTGCTGGAGTTCTTTTATGAACTTGATGGCTTTATCCAGTTTGTTTTTAAATGTATGTCAAACTTTATTGTCTCTCCATTATACTCCCACAAAAAAAGCTGTTTCTAATGGTCAAGCATAGCCTATAGTTATTCATTATATTCCAATCAAATCTGATGTTCATTTATAAATTTTGCTCATGGATTGTTGTTACTAAAAATTATGACTGTGCATCGCTTTGTATGGCCTACATCAGCTGGTTAATTTGCCTAATCTTCACAGGTGGAAACGCACACAACAGTGGGCTGAAGGAACCTTTTAGTTCCCTGAAAAGAGATCTGGGGACTAAAATGTCCAGGTACTTTTGTTGGAAACGCGGCTCTTGCAGCTTCCCACCAATCAATGCAACCCAGACATTACAATGCCTGGAATTGAACCACAGGCCCCTGTAGTGGTGGCTGAGAATTTTAGCCTTCAGTTTTTTAAGCTGTTCATGTTCTGTTTCTTCTCAGAAACTGCAGTGAGGCGGATAATTTGCTCTTCCTAGCTCTGCTTTGATTCTGTTGTCAGGTAGCCACACCACCCTATAACTGAACTGCAGAATAACGGCACAAGCAACAGTGGGAAACATTTCTTCTATTTTTTGCTTTCCTCTGTTGGAATAGCACTTTCAAACTGTGCTAATTCATTCTGTCAGACTACAGTGAACTCCATTTGTGAGTGATTGTTTGAGAGGATGAAAGCATCATGCTGACAAGTAGCTGACAGACAGAAGGAAAGGCTGTGCTGTGCTTACCCACTGTCCACTGTTTTAACACTATATACACATTTTTTTTTTACATCAAATTGTTCAGCTTGTTCAGCAGTTTTTTCTTAAAATTTAAATATCAAAATTCAAGTGTCAGGGGCAGTACACAAAACAGAAGAGGCCAAGTATTAAAATGAAGACTGAGAATCTGATTTCATAAAGGTAATGGTGTGGCCTCTGGTGGTGTGATTCTTACTCAACTATTTTTGAACAGCCAAAAATTGTGCATTTAAGCACAATTTAGTTGCTCCTCTGTTGCTGGCAGGTGGAAAACTGAAAAATTTCCAAACTAGGGAACAGACATATTATAGATATTTTAAAACTCTTGTCACCTAAAAGACCTGGTGCGGTTTGACACGTATCTGCTGCCTTGTCACAAACACAAAGCATCACCGCTGACCCCAGGAGCATTGTGGATAATTTGCCTTTACTTCATGTGTCACATACTCTCATGGCAACCAGCTCCCCTGCTCCTGCACCCCATGGCTGGGACTAAAGAGAGGGAGTCCCACAGGACTAAGACATTCAAGTCCAATAGGGATTTCATCTGCTGTCTGTCATTGTCCTAGCATTATACTCCAGTAGTCCCTTAGCCTCAGAGTGACTTCACTACAGAGCTGTGTGGTACCAATATGTAATCCTATTCACAGGGGCCCAGGAGTGATTACTGTGATACCTTTTTAGCATGCAAGCTTAGCATTGACCATGGTTGGAGGTGCTTTGTGACCTACTGTCCTCATAGATGTCCTCCTCATTACTATGCTAATAGTTTCCTGTGGCTGCACTCTGTTTTTGTACTCGCTCTCCCTCCCTCTGTTTCATTCTCAGTCCCCCTCACTGATTTCTCATTCTGGCCACGGTATGGCCTGGTTGTAAGGGGAGTGTGTATCATCGGAGAAAAGGGGGAAGAGTGAGGTGCCTGGCACAGCCAGCTGCTCCCAACTCAGGGCTCATCTACTAATGCCATACAAACGGGTAAAAATACCAGCTGGGCAGAAGGCAACGGCAGGTGGCCGGGCACCAATAAAACTCAGCAAAATGAGCAGTGCACCCTTTATTATTTGGACAGATAGAACAGATATCTTTTAATTAAAAGATTAAATGACTCATTAAATGGGAACATCTACTGTATGTTCTCCAGGTTCTCTGTATGTTTTTTTCCATTTTCAGTGAACTTATTGGTCACATGGTCAGCTTCTTGCACTACCAGTTGCACTTATGAACTCCTTTAG